AATAGATTTTTTAAAATTACAACAAAAGCACAAACAACAAAAGAAAAAATAGATAAATTGGATTTCATCCCAATTTAAAACCTTTGTGCATCAAAGGATACTATCAAAAGGGAGAAAAGACAACTCACAGAATGGAAGAAAACAACTGTAAATCATGTAACTATAAAAGTCTAGTATCCAGAATATATAGAGAACTCTTATGATCCAACAACAAAACAATAACCAACTAAAAAATGTGTAAAAGATTGCCCTTGTCATTGTACTCAGTGGTTAGAGAGTTGGTCCAGGCACCAAAGGGTTGCGGGTTTGATTCCTGGTATAGGGCATGTACCTTTCTTGCAAGTTTGATCCCTGGCCCTTGTCAGGGATCATGTGGAAGGCAACCAATGATTGTGTCTCTCTAATATTGATGTTTCTCTTCTTCTCCTTCTCTGTCTCTCTCCCTTTCTCTCCCCATCCCTCCTTCCTTTCCTTTCACTCTTTCTAAACTCAATGGAAAACTATCCTTGGGTAACAACAATGACAAAAAATGGACAAAAGACTTTTCTCCAAAGAAGACATATAAATAGACAACAAGTACATACATAAAATATGCTCAATGATATTGAGCATTCAGAAAATGCAAATCAAAACCACAATGAGATATCATTTCATACCCATTAGAATAGCTATAACATTGTTTTCAAGTCTTTTTTTTTTAACTTATCTTTACTGTTGAATGTATTACAGATGTCTCTCCTTTTTTCTCCCCTTGATTCCCTACTCCTCATTCCCACTCCTCTCATGCCTTCCCACACTATTGTCTGTGTCTATTGGTTATGCATATATGCATATAAGGTCTTTGGTTTCTCTCTTCCCACCCCACCTTCCTGCTTCCCTTGGAGGTTCCTCAGTCTAACAACCAATTTGTACTTCTTAATCCCTTCATCTTTTTCACCCAACCCTCCTCCCATCTGGCAACCAACAAAAAGTTCTCTGTATCTATGAATCTGTTTCTGTTCTGCTTGCTCATGTTTTTGGTAGATTTGATTGTTACTAGATATGTATTTATTGCCATTTTATTGTTCATATTTCTTTATCTTCTTTATCAAGAAGACCCATCAACATTTCATATAATTCTGGTGGTGATGAACTCCTTTGGCTTTTTCTTGTCTGAAAAACTCTTTATTTGTCCATCAATTCTAAATGATAGCTTTGCAGAATAGAGTAATCTTGGTTGTAGGTCCTTGCTTTTCATCACTTTAAATATTTCTTGCCACTCCCTTCTGGGCTGCAAAATTTCTTTTGAGAAATTGGCTGACATCCTTATGAAAGCTCTGTTGTAGGTAATTAACTGCTTTTCTCATGCTGCTTTTAAGATTCTGTCTTTTTAACCTTTTGCATTTTGATGATGAAGTGCCTTAGTGTGGACCTCTTTGGGTTTACCTCGTTTGGTACTCTCTGCGCTTCCTGGACTTGTATGTCTGTTTTCTTCACTAAATTAGGAAAGATTTCTGTCATTATTTTTCAAATAGGCTTTCAATTTCTTGCCCTCTCTCTTCTCCTTCTGGCACTCCCATGATGTGAATTTTGGTACGCTTGAAGTTGTCCCACAGGCTCCTTATACGATACTCATTATTTTTTTTATTCTTTTTTCTTTTTGCTCTTCTGCTTGGGTGTTTTTTGCTTTCTTATATTCCAAATAAAATGGTTTGCTTCTTGGCTTCACCTACTCTACTACTGACTCCCTGTAAATTATTCTCTATTTCAGTTAGTGAATCCTTCATTTCTCACTGTTCCTTTATTATGCTCTTGAGGTCCTCATGAAGTTCCTTGAAATTCTCACCAAGTTCACTGAGCATCCTTATAAGCAGTGTTTTGAACTCTGCATCTGTTAGATTGCTTATCTCCATTTCCTTTAGTTCTTTTCCTGGAGTTTTGTTCTGTTCTTTCATTTGGGACATGATTCTTTGTCTCATTTTGGCTGCCTCCCTGTGTTTGTTTCTATGTATTAGGTAGGGTTGCTATGTCTCCTAGACTTCCTAGGGCGGCCTGTCATAGTAGGTCCTAAGCTTCCTAGGGTGGCCTGTAGGTTCAGAGGCACAGCCTCCCTGGTCACCCAGCTGGGCCCTCAAGGTGCACCCTTCATGTGGACTTTATACTCTTCTGTTATAATTGAGTCTTGATTGCTATCGGCACATCAATAGGAGGGTTTTACTCAGGTTGATCAGCTGCAAGGACTGGCTGTGCCCACTAACCACTGACCTCTGACTACCTCGGGTGATCAGCTGTGCAGGGGCCTACCACCCAGAGCGAGACTTACTTCAGCAGGGTTCTGGTACCCACTGAGTCCATTCCTTATGTAACTTGGGAGGTAGTTGGGTGGTGGTATTTCAACGTGGTATGAAGCTGTCCACTGGGTGAGCTGGCTCTGGGGCAAGGTCAGCCACTGCCTATGTTCTACCTGGGGACACCAGGCATAAGCTACAATGAGATCAGCTGATGGTGGCTGCTTGTGCTGGGCTTGGAGGTGCCCAGGCAAAGCCCAGCTATAAAACAAGGTTGGTAGTGCCAGGCCTGGGGCCACTTAGCAAGAGTGACGGAGCTCACTGTGGCCAGATGCTGCTTGTTTGAGAGAATTTAGGAAAATCTGAAGCAAGAGCTAAAATAGGCCAATCCTATAGTAAAGCCACTGGACACAACTTGGGTAGGCCCAAAAGTTGGGTGGGGCAGGGCCTCAGGAAATCACCAGGGTTTACCAATCAGTGTAAGCCAGGTTGCTAGAATCCCAGATATGGCTGCTGTCTGCTGGCCTCATGGGGAAAGGGCTCACCAAAGGAACAAAAGCCTCCACCAGTACATCTGTCCAGGAGAAAGCTGCCTCTCCAGCTCTCACCCCATGCCAAACAACTCAGTTCTTCCCTGTATGTCTCTGGTGCCTTTCAAGCTGCCTCCCCTCCATGCTGGTGCCCAGAAGGAGCGAGTCTGAGTAAGTCCATGCGTGGGCCCTTTAAGAGGAGCTGCCTGGGGCTCCAGCAGCCTCAACCTCCCTCAGCCTCAGTTCCCACTGGTTTTTCCAGCCAGAAGTTATGGGGACTTCTCTTCCTGGCACTGGAACCCTGAGCTGGGAACCTGGGAGGGGGACCCCTCACTCCTCAGGGAGGACCTTCACAGCTGAGGTGTCCCTCCTGATTTTTATCCGCCACACTTGGGTATGGGAATAGCCTGTCCTCACCTCTACCCCTCTTGCCAGTCTTGAAGTGGCTTCTTTAATTTTGTAGTTGTAGGACTTCTATTCAACTTGATTTCAGGTGGTTCTGAATGATCTTTGTTCTGTAGTTTAGTTGTAATTTTGATGTGGTTGTAGGAGAAGGTGAGTACCACATTTACCTATGCCGCTATCTTGACCAGAAGTGTATAACATTTTTTTTAAAGAAAAATAACAAGTGTTGATGAGAATTTGGAGAAATTGGAACCCTCATACATTGCTGGTCAGAATGTGAAACAGAGCAGCTCCTTTGGAAAACAGTTTTACAGTTCCTCAATAAGTTAAACATAGAATTACCACTTAAGCTAGTGTATACTAAAAAAAAAAAAAATGAAAACAAGTGTTCTTATACACAAATATTCATAGCAACTCTATTTACTACAGCCAAAAAGTATAAACAACTCAAATGTCCATCAACAGGTGCATGGATATATAAAATGTGGTATATCCATAAAGTGAAATAGTATTCAGCTACAAAAAATGAAATACTGATACATATTCAACAGTGGGTGAACCTGAAAACATTATGCTCAGTGAAAGAAGCCACACATGAAGGGCACATATTGTGAGTTCATTTATATGAAATATCCAGAACAAATAAATTACTGAAAGAGAAAACAGATTAGTGGTTACCAGAGGCTAGGTGGAAGAAGAAATGGGAAATGCATGCTTAATGGATACAGGGAGTTTATTTGGGGTGAGGAAAAAGTTCTGGAATAGATAGTGATGATGGTTGCACAACATTGTGAATGTACTTTATACCATAGAATAAATTGTACTTTTTAAAATCGTTACAACTGCAATAAAAAAGGAAGAAATAGTAATATTATTTTATATAGTATTTACAAGGACTAAGTTAATTAAATTGAAGGTGATGACCTTTAGAAAGTGCTTAGAACAGGGCGTGGCACATAGTAAGTGCAGAGAGAAAGGTTGAGAGGGAGTGGTAAGGCTTACCAATCTTTTCTAAAGAGGATGCAGCAGCCCTGGCCGGTTTGCTCAGTGGTTAGAGTGTCGGCCTGCATTCCAGAGAGACCCAGGTTTGGTTCCCATTAAGGGCATGTACCTTGGTTGCAGTTTGTCCCCGGCCCTGGTTTGGTTGTACGGGTGGCAACCACTCGATGTGTCCCTTTCACATCGATGTTTCTCTCTCTCTCTCTCTCTCTCTCTCTCTCTCTCTCTCACCCTCCCTCCCTCCCACTCTATCTGAACAAAAAATGGAAAATAAAAAAAAGAGGGTGCAGCAAAAGTCTAAGAATTCCAACCTTTCACTTTATTCACTACTCATAGGCAAATCTTCTATGAGACACAAAGAACTCCAATGACCCCAGAACTTGGTACCCTCTTTGGTACCCTGATTCTTCACAATGGAAGGAAGGCTTCTAGCTATTGACCTGTGAGACCTTTCCTGTATATCCCCAACCTCATCTCATCCTACCTGTTTCTTCCCATCTCCTCTGGAGCCACACCAGCCTACTTCAGGATCTCATGCACACTGGCCTTCTCCCTCCCTTAAGCTGGAACCTGTGCTGTTCCCTCCACCCTCCCTTCCTCGCCTGGTTATATCTATCACAGTCGGATCTCAACTCATAGAACAAATGCTCATTCAGTGATGTGCCTATCCCTGCTAGTGTCTGCCATTTGTCTGTGTGACTTTTATTAATGTCTGTTTCCACCTGAAGTCCAAGAAACAAGGACCAGGGGACTCTGGGTTCCTCCCTCCCTCCCTCCCACGTCCTGCCCACACACTCACCATCATTGATCCTCCCAGCCAAGGACTCCGCACTGAAGCCAGCAAAGATGACTGTGTGGACAGCTCCAATCCTGGCACATGCAAGCATTGCAGCCACAGCCAGTGGGGAAACAGGCATGTAGATTGCCACACGGTCCCCTCGATGAACTCCGTGCCTCTTCAATGTGTTGGCCAGGCGGCATGTGGTCTCCAACAGTTCCCTGTGGCACAGAGAAGAGAAGGCCATTAGAGATGGAGGAGGCCCAAAATTCAGAAAAATTTAAAGTGGAATAATTCTGCAAGTACTGTATACCTATCCAGTGCCTGGAGGATAGCAGACAATGAAATACTTATCACATGGTGAGGTTGTTTTCAGAAAATAATTTTTTTTGTAGACTTCTATTAACAAAGATCCATTGTCATACTGCTGAGGTAAAATGATTGTTCTTAAGTCCATTTAGGGCATGGTTTCTCAAAGACAAGCCTTCAAAGCCTATATTGTCATATCCCTGAGGCTTCTTAAAACATTCACTTCTAAAATAAAGATTTTATAAGTAAGACAGTGGGAAAATGCAAGGCCCAGGTTTTTTAATAAACACAGGCCAGTGGCATCACGCAAGATTCCTGCTAGGCAGGGCTCCAAGCTCATGCAGCAGGCCCCAAATATGTGAACCCACAGTGAGTCAAAAGGGAAGGCAGGCCATAGGACAGTAACCCTCAATGCAGCCCCAAGGCAGTGTTGGTGTAGGGAGAGCACCCCATTTCTCTTCATGCTAAGTGCTAAATGGGTGCAGCAGGATGGAGACTGTGCCAGGGGCCCACTATCTCATACCTCTCCTCTCCCACACATGATCCCAACCTCCATTCCCAGGCTTATCTCAAGGCTCAGCCTGCCAGTCAGAACCCTGTATCGCCCTGAACAAACTGTTTGGTTTAGGAATTGTCATGTGACCAAACCCAGCCCAATCAGAGTCTATGGCAGTCAACTCCAGGAGCTGCCTACTTTTCTGGAGTATAATAGGAAGTGAAGAAAAGTAACTGGAATGATCCCACTTCTAGGAATGAATATACCGTAAGAAGCCTGAAACACCAATCAGAAAGAATATATGTACCCCGATGTTCATAGCAGCACTATTTACAATAGCTAAGATCTGGAAACAGCCCAAGTGTCCATCAGTAGATGAATGATAAAAAAGCTGTGGTACATATACACAATGGAGTACTTTGCAGCTGTAAGAAAGAAAGATCTCTTATCCTTTGAGATGACATGGAGGGACCTGGAAAGTATTATCCTAAGTGAAACAAGCCAAACAGAGAAAGACAAGTATCATATGATCTCAGAATATAGGAACATAACACTCTGAGGAATGGAGTAGTTCCAGAGATGTGAAAGTGGGGTACAGACTAACAATCCCCAGAAGAGGGGGTGGTGGGGGAGAGATAAACCACAGAACTTATATGCATGTGTGCATGAACAATGGACATGGACAACAAAGCTGGGGACAGGGCAGGGAGGGAGAGGGAGGGGGAATCAGTGGGGGGAAAAGGAAAAACATCTGTAACAAAAATTAATTAATTAATTAAAAAAAAAAAGTTGTCTAAAGAAATTAAAAAAAGAAAAGAAAAGCAACTGAAAGAGTGGCAGTTAGCTGGAGGCTGCTTTCAACCTTATTCCAGCACCTGATCTGAACTTGGACTTTGTAAATAACCATTTTCCCATTTTTGCTGTTGTATGGTTCGATTTTTAATTTATTATTTAAAAAAAAGAACTAACACGGCAGGACTGAATAAGGGGAAACCAAGGCCTTCCTCTAGTCACCAGGTTGTGCCACCACATTAGTAAATCTGTAAACTTATATAGACTTCTATTTTTCATATTTATTAAAAATTCTGTATTCAATAATCACTTGCATTCACACTTAAAAGCAAATCTAACAAAAGAAAAATACTATTCACTACTGGAAATTAAATAACCATGTGTATAGTCTCTTGAAATAAATTTGATCCCTTAATAAGTCTAATTACTTTCAGTTGCCTTTAAAACACACACACACACACACACACACACACACACACACACACAGTGTGGCAAAAGTAGGTTTACAGTTGTGAGTATGCAAAAGTTTATTGTTGTATTATTATTTATTAAATTATTTTTCATACCAACAATTGCAAACCTACTTTTGCCCCACCGTGTGTGTGTGTAACTGTGTATATTATCGTATAATTCTACTTATGGTTCCTGTACTGCATTGAAGATCTAGGAGCATAACAGCCTTTTGTTCCCTGTAAACAGTGAGCTAATGCTGCAGAAAGGTTATAAATGGCAGTCTGGTCCTTCATTGATCTGGACTATCCATGGTTTTGTTGTAAGTGATTTTCCAAACAGATTCAATTTCTTTAGTGTGATATACAATAGTGGCCCTCAGGTCAAAAGAATCCCAGCTTTCATTCCTTTCTAGGCTTCTCTGTTCTTTGGTGGAGCCTAATAAAGTATTTGTAGGAGACACACAAGGATTTTTGTTGCTATTAATCCTTACCCAAAAATATTTTTCCATTGATTATTAGAGAGAGTAGAGGAGAGAGAGGGAGGGAGAGAGAGAGAGAGAGATGCTACAATGTGAGAGACACATCGACGGGTTGCCTCCTGCATGACCCCAACTGGGGCTGGGAATCGAACCTACAACCGAGGTACGTGTCCTTGACCAGGAATCAAACTCACGACTCTTTAGTCCATGGGCCAACACTCTTAACCACTAAGCCAAACTAGCCAGGGGATTTATTTATTTATTTATTTATTTATTTATTTATTTATTTATTTATGTTACAGATGTTTCTCCTTCTTCCCCCACTGATTCCTCCCTCCCCCTCCCTCCCCACCCCAAAGGATTTCTTTTAATCCTCATCCAAGGATATGCTTATTGGTGAGAGAGAGAGAGAGAGAGAGAGAGAAATGTCAATGTGAGAAAAATTGATCTGTTGCTTCCAATATGTGCCCCAACCAGGGATTTAACCCACAACCTAGGTACCTGGCCCTGACCAGGAGTCAAACCTGCAACCATTTAGTGTATGGGATGATGCTCCAGCCAACTGAGCCACTCAAGCAGAAGAGGATTTTGATTTTCTATCTCATAGTCCTTTAAGAGAAACACTAAAGTACCCTGACTTCTGGTGTCAGCTTTTTACAGGTCATCTATATTAGTAGGTTCCGAGGAGAAGGCTCCACTCTCACTAGCAGTCCCAGATTTTAGAATGCTACCCAGAACTTTAGAACTGGTCCATTTCTCCAGTTCAGAAGTCTTGGGAAACAAAGGATGCTCAATTCCTGAGGGGACTATTTCACCATCCTATAAAACCAAAGTGGCAGGATATTCCCCTTGAAATGTCACCTCCATCACTTTATGATCTGATGACTTCCCAATAACAGTTTTAGGGTCAGCACTGGGCTCATTTAAAAATGATAAAACTTGTCTCGCCGGTGTGGCTCAGTGGTTGAGCATTGACCCATGCACCAAGAGGTCACCGGTTCAATTCCCAGTCAGGACACATGCCTAGGCTGTGGGCCCGATCCCCAGTGGAGGACATGCAGGAGGCAGCCAATCGATGATCTTTCTCATTGATGTTTCTCTCTCTCTCCCTTCCTCTCTCTCTAAACTCAATAAAGGGAAAAAAAAAATTTAATAAATAAATAAATGATAAACCCCACTGATTCTGGAAGATATGCCTCTGGTTTTGATTCTCTGTCTAAGAGGATAGATCCACTTGTGCTGTGCTTAACAGCACAGTTTACATGTTTGAAGGGTAGATTAAAAAGCTAGACTTAATTTGTTCAACAGCTGTTGAAATTCCTGAGGAAGTGAATCAGTCCCAGAAGAGATGGGTGTTAGCATATTAGTAGCAGTAGTTAGCAGTGGCTGACACCTTGTAGAATGCCCACTTGCATCAGTCCCTATTAAAACAAGCCCATTAGAAAAGTTGGCTGAAGTAGCAGATTTCAGCACTGACACAGGGACCTGGGATAATCAACTTGAAGACAGGGTCTGAGTTTTCCCAGTAGATGATAGAGAAGATAAAGATGAAGATGGTGACACAGAAGAGTTCTGTACAGTTTTGTTGAGGCTTTCCTTTATTTTGCTTGCATAACTTATTTTAGACACTATTTTAGCATTGCTATTGTCCACTGGAAAAATTGGGAGAGGTTTAAATAGGATCCAAAAGTCCTCTTTGGAGGCAGCAGCTGAAGCATGCTTTCATTTGAGTCAATCATCAAACTTTTTTCTGCTCACACAGGTTTAATATGTTTTTCTGCAGCATATTACCTAGAACAGTTTTCCCTCAATTTGTCTTTCCGGGCCCAGTTTCACACTTCTCAATGGGCTTTGAACCATCTACTTGATTTCCCATTTGTTTACTGTAATCAAGTTTGAGAGTTTCAAGCCCCCAAAAAACTAAATCAAACCCGTTTTAAGGTTGAGATACTGGTCTTTTGTTGCATTATTTTGTCTCACAATAATAAATTAAGGTTTTCACAACTCTTGGCACTGTTGTACCTAGATTTCCGTTATTTAAGAGTGGTACATCTGATCTCAGATCCACTACCATAATTATCTGCTCCTTTGCGCATGTAATCATTAGTAATATAACCAGAATTATTTGTTATAACACCACTTGGAATTACTATAATATCACTCTTATCTACAGACTGGATCTCCCCAGATTTCTTTTCATAAGAATTTCCATTCTTTTTGTTTATACTGTTTTTTTTAAGTAAAATTTGTGGTTTTAAATCCTGGTTTCACAAAGGTAGTGGCTTTTGCTGTCTGCTTCAGATTAGTGTCTACAACTTGTTGGTTGCCATTGAGGACCCTGCCAATAGGGTTGGTAGCTTTATCAGAACCCAGGTTCTTTAAAAATATTTCTCTTTCTCCAGCATTACCACTTAGTTCACCACAGCCTGTATTCTTCTTTGGTATTTCCTGATGTTGCTATAGGGTGTGTTTCTGCTCATGTTTGGCTGGACCTTGGGGTGGCCTAGGCTCCATGCTGCAGGTATTAGTGATGCTGCTGGTGATGGTGGTGGTCATAATGGTTATGGCTGTGGCTGTAGAAATAATAATGGTGGTAGTGGTGCAGTTGCTGCTGTTGGGCAGATAGTAGTGGCTGTGATGTTATTGAGGTTGTAGCTGGCCAGGCTTTTCCTTCACTGAAAGCGGCTGGGACT